GTAGTTTGTTATAATTTCTAATAAAAGAATTTATTTAATTTATATCATGTGGTTAGATTAAAACCTAAACATTTCGGATAAAATTTTAACAATGTCCAATCAAATATACGCCTTAAAAACGTTTAAAAATGTATCATCATTGCATTTTTCAACATTTATACCTAGCCATATTTGCTATTTGTAGCACTTTATAGTTGGCAAAAATGATTTTTTCAAATGTGTCCTAATATTCTGTTATACATTATAAACACTTCTACCTCGCACTGTATCTACATTTTGAAGATTTCTATCCTACTTTAATAAATTAACGGCAAATTCTGAAAAATACGAGTAGTGTTACAAAAATATATTTTTGAATTTAATAATTCAACAAAGTGCGAAAGTCAACAAAGTTTCAAGCGTTCAAATTACATTGGCTGGAACGAGTCGCAGTTTACCCTCAATTTCCATTTCCACCACCCACTGCACTTTGCGAACATGCCTGACACGATAAGCGTCTGATTTATTTATCCGCATGGCATCGCAAATCTTCGCCAATTCCCAGCGCAACACCAAATATCTAGATTTATGACTGTTTTACGATTTCAATTTTATTGACTATTAAATTGTGCCTGATCTCATTACGATAATCAATGTAAATTTTTAATTTCTTTTGCAAAAACAAATCAAACATTTCAACGCAAATATATAATAGACTAGGAAGAACCTTATTAATATCAAAACAAGTTTGACATTGTTAAAGAAAAAAGAGAGTATGGCAAAATTAGGTTTGCGTTCGATGTCGGTGGTTTTACAGGCATGAAAATGTAGATTTAAAAGCATGATCTCTGTCCGGAAGATAATACAGTGAATTTTTCCTAACAAATAGAAATATAAGGAATCCGAACCTTCAAATTTCAATACGATTACGATTTTCTCGTTAACTGCAGTACTTAATCTCACACATAGCCAAGTTACGACAATGTCAAATAAAATGGTTTAGAATTATATAATCGATCTATATTAGTTCACTCAACTTATGATTATAATGCTCGTCCTGAAGATTTACAAGACAAACAATAGATTACAACAACAATATGATATGACATATTATAGCATGTGACCTAGCTTTTGCTTGACAAAAAAACAACGCATAACAAAAATAAGGAAATATATCTAAATACGCACACTGAAAAGAAGGGACAAACCGCTGGGATTCATAAAAAGACAACGCATTTATATGCAATGTGTTCGCTTAAAAACACAAGAAATATAGCAACATAAATGTCAGAGAAAATGTCGGGATTTATTAACGCAAAAAATAAAATAAAATATGATATAAAAATATGATAATATAGACATAATATGCAAAAAATTGCTACTTTGCTACGTCTTCGTATGACGTGATGAAAATCAAATAAAGTTTTAAAGTTTTTGTTTCACAAGTTAGTTCTTGTTAAATTACATAATCATCAGCATAAATGATGTTGTGTTGGCGGAAGTAAATTGTTATTATTGCCGTAATTTTGTTAGATTTATCTGATTTAAAAAAATTTAATTATCTTGCTAATTATATGGATAATTATAGTCGATTATGGAAATACTGTTATATAGAAGAAAGTGAAATAAGTGATAATATTAACAAAATAAAAACTACACATAAATTTATTTGTTAATGTGTATTATATCTTAATGGTATTTGTGAATTTTCAGGAGGAAAAACAGGAAGAATATTAAATATGTATTATGAAATGGGGAATTTGTAAGAATGGAAATGCAAACTGCCCCTAAATTTGTACTAGTGTTTTGCATCGTCATGTGTTTGATAACTTACAATATTTACATTGCGAATTTAACTTTGCATCTTTAGTTACGTGAGAAGTTATTACTTTAAGGAAATGTAAAATTGAGTATCAACGTGTGAACTTTATACAAGACGTATAACAGGCTAAATTGATACAAGTATAATGAATGATTACGAGGACAATGTTGAAATTGTATTTTATCATGTTTCCTTTTGAACGCTAAACTTATTTTGAGAATCGATGTATTTTTTTATATCTAGATTACATATGTAATATTTTTATATTGTATACTTTCCATTAATATTAAATATAAATTCATTTAATGGAGAGTAATTCATGTTTTTGGTGACCCAATCAATGACACAGTTCACTTCAAATAAAGCAAACTGCCAAAAAACTGTTTTCCGGTGTTACCGCGTGATTATCATCGGAATTCGATGCTAGTCTTTATAGTACGTACAAATTGCTTCCGGTTGAAATAATACGTGAGGGAAAAGAAATAATACTGATTCGGAAGGCATGCTGGGGAAGAGAAAGAATAAACCTGATATAAAGGCATTTGTATGCCGAACGTGCAAACACCGTAAAAGTAAATACTGCCACAAATGGTTACCCAAATGAATTAAAATACTTATAATCCTGTATTCTGTTTGAATAAAACCAAAGGGTAATAAGAAAGTAATAAAATGTCAATTTTATGTTGCACCATTTTTCTGAATTTTTATTAAAATACCAATTAATACAAATGGGACATCTATAGATTAAGCTTTGAGCTTTCAACGAGTAGGAAGATACTGTTTTGTGTTTGGTGTAATTTACGATGCCTTTAATTTTTGGTGACAAAGTTTTAGGATCAAATTTTGATGATCTTAATTGACACTGTTCAAAATATTTATTTTATTTTTCCCTGTTATTCAACACACATTTTAATATGGAATTAAATATCATATATAATTACTCAAAAAAAGTAAACACTAAATATTTATTCAAACAGTATATTAAGAATCAAGTTGGTTAAACGGCATGAGATTGATTAAGAGAGAGAGCGTAGCGAGCGTATAATTAATCAAACGCTTTTCAACGATTACACAGGTCAACACAAAATTTGCCTTTCAGTTTAAAGTATTAATTTAGGTCATAACTGCACGAAAAAAAAATATATGACATAAAGAAGTTTGCTTCTGTACTCAGAATTCAGATTTAACAATATTTTTCAAAATTTGGGATTTTTATGTTTAATTAACGATAGAACTAAACAAATAAATTAATTTATCATTTTCATGAAATTTTACTATTAAAATAACTTATAAATAAGTGAAATATAGTTTAAAAGTGTACATTTTTGCCCTTTTTTTATGATCATAACTGTTTTCTCTCAATAAACCCCAGATATAGTCTCCCATCATATTTTCATTATATTGGCCTTGATATCGTTGTTCGAAGTTCATGATGTCCTGATGAAAACGTTCTCCTTGCTCTTCGGAATATGCCCCCATGTTACTTTTAAACTTATCTAAGTGCGCATGAAGCATATGTACTTTCAATGACATCCTGCAACCCATGGTTTTGCATTTTTTCCGCTATGTCTTTTATTTTGATTTACAACGCAAAATTAGCGCCAGATTCTTGGTACTGCAAATTACATAAAACTTTTCTCTCCTCGATACCAACCTAACATGTAGAAATAACTAATTTCTACAATAACAAAATCAATGAAATGACAAATGTTTTCCCTGTTCCTCCAGGTGCTTTCCCTGGTACTTTCCCGCTTTTCTGTTAGAATTTTTCTACCATTTTCTTTGTTAAAAACCTCTCTGAACCCGAGACCTATCCAACGAATGCAAAACCGTGAAAATCGGTTGATGCGTTCTGGAGTTATAGCGTCAGGAAGGAAAACCCGACCTATTTTTATATAGTAGAATTGAAAATGAGTATTATTACTATAGATATCACAAAAGCAAACTTTATACCAAAATGAGGTATTCACTGGTAGTAGTTGTGCATAATTAACCCAAAAATCATAAAATAAACTTTAGGACAAAAAACAATAGTTTTTTTGTTGAGCCGTGTTAGTGACGAGATGCTTACGCAATTTTTATAGTGAGGTATAAAATTGACATTTTTATCACGTTCGAAAATCAACAGCTCAGTCTTCTATTTTCCTTCGACACGCTCTTTAGCAAATAATCTAAAGTAGTTTAACCACGCTTGAGCTACGTTTTGTAGGGCTCCTGTCGATATTGCCATTTACGTAAGCCTTCGTTTCGAGACTATCGCAAAGCAGTTCCATGCTCAAGGGAACAAGAACCGGAAGGATAATAAAGAAAAGGCAACGAGTTATTTGCCAATTGTCAGAAAATCAATTGCTTGGGCTACCATGGCGATAAAAGCAAGTATAAAAAATAAAATAAACAAATTGATTGATTTTAAACACTATTGTGCACACATTGTAAAATGAATGCGAAATTTGAAATAAAATTTATATAAAACATGTCACGGCTTGCATAAATTTGTTGGAACTTGATATTTTTACTAGAAATAATCGGACTTCTTGTTTAAGGACAGCATAGAACGTAGAAATTGAATTGAGACCTATTAACATTTACTAGTTAATAGGTGCTAAATAAATATTAAGTTGCTAAACGGAAGTTTTTGTTTAACATCGTTTTGTTTGTTGAAATGCATGGCATTTCATATGATGTTGTGCTACATTGTTGGCAAATGTGCAGGCGCAAGCTCCATCCCGTGGCTAAAGCTTTTAAAGTACTTTATTCACAGCTCACTCAAAACTGTGAAAAAACTTGTGTTTTAATGGTGCAAGTATTTAAAGATATTCATATACTAATTATTATATGCTAATAAAAAAAACTGAATTTTGAATTAATTTTTGTGATGAGTAACAATATTTTACGTGAGCTTGCTGAGAATTGCAACAATGCAACAACTATAGTATGAGAATACATTTGGCGCGCAATCGGGGAATTTCAAGATAATCGCATCACGCTCCCAGTTGGCGAAGCGTGAAAGCTGCTCGTAAATCAGCAATAATGCAATTACGCGGAACGCCAACCAAATCTCCTCTAACCACCGAGTTTAATAACAAAACACAAACATGAATGTTACTTTCAATTCAATAGTTCACTATTTACATTTAGCGTATATTAATTGATTGTTTGATTGTGAATAAATGAATAATGTGTCTATTTAAATTTTTAGAATTGGACCTGGATTTCCTAGAGAAGCGTCACCATGCAAACGGAGAGGCGTCGGAAAAGCGCCCAGGAAACGACGCTTTGCGGCCGCAGGACCCGCTTCAAAGTCCGCTAGAGTTTAGCCCGGAAAGTGTTGATCGTGTTAAAGTGATATTCCTTGGTCCACCAGCAGTGGGCAAAACCAGCATTGTTCAAGTAATAATTTATATGGCAATAACTTAAATTTTGAATCAGCTATAAACATTTCATGCTTTTAGCAATTCGTGTGGAATAGCTTCTGTGACGAATACCAGCCGACTGACCGTAAGCACACCTACTACCCAAGCGTGATCTCTAACGACCGCCTATACGAAATTAAAATCTCCGACTTACCAGTCATACCTTATTTCCCAGTCAATTCGTATTACGAGTGGACCGATTACCGTTTCTACGGCTTGCGTTCCGCTTCTGCCTATGTATTGGTCTTCGATCTCGCCAACCTAGAAACCTTCCAGTACGTGAAAACACTGCGCGAGCAAATCTGCGAGAGCCGTAACATGTCAAACGTGCCAATTCTGGTTATTGGTAACAAACTAGATCTTATATCCGGTGAAGATGGTGCTGCTTCAACAAGCGCCTCATCCAAGGCAATTACTGGTGGAGATGCGGAAAAGCGACGCGATATCGCCAATCTGGTACGCAAGCACTGGAAGTGTGGTTATATGGAATGTTCAGCAAAATACAATTGGAAATTAGTGGCGGCCTTTCGGGAACTTATGGGCATGGTAGATAGCATTGACGTGCGTGAGCAAAGTCCCATGCTCGACAATCTGCAGGATGCGCTCGATCGCAACAAGTGCGCAATCCTTTGAAATTCGGCCAGTGCGCATCATCTGCGCCATGATCCCTCACTAAGGATGAGAAAGATATGCTTAACTTCATTGAAAAGTTACGTTATTATCCTCAAATTTAACTATTGTTAAAGAATGTTTAGTATTATTTTGAAAAGTGTTTTTTTGCCATACTGTCCATTTTATTACAATTTATACTATCCTCTATACACGTAGAAGTCTAAATTTCTGTTAAATTAATTGTATTAAATTTTATTGTTTATAAATTTTATAAAAACAACAACTTCAGAAAGTCTTTACGTGTAAAAACTGTTCAAAATGTATTGTGGCCAAATACTTGTACACGAAAAACCAACAAAAATTGAGTGTAAATTAGTTGTAGACTTACTACTAGATAATTGTTGCATAGTAAAAAACTAAGGGTTGTGATTTTCTAAAAACGATGACGAACCACTGTTTTAGGTAACATCCCTTGATGAATCCTAGATGTACAATAAAAACGAAAACCCCTCGAAACATGTAATTAAGCCAAATTAGAATCTAAATTACTTAAGAAAATAATTAAGCTGTAAGAAAATGTTATTGTATGCTCATTTAATGCAGCTCAAATATTTTGTTTATACAATCAGCTGTAGCGAATATTTGTTAATTGTGTACATAATTGTTGGTTTGGTATTAATGACTAATCATCTGCGTCGCACAATTTTAAACTGGTTGTCATTGCAATCATTATTGTAAACTATCATGATTGTACTTAAAATATACAACAAATAAAAAAGTATTAATAAATTCATCATCAATTAATTTGAATAAATGGGTTGAATTGGTACTTCACATATTTTGTATCTTTAGTTATGCGAAATAAATTGTTTTCATAAAAATTATGAAAACGATTGATCACCCACCACTTTAGAACTATATCTAATTGATAGTATTTTATAGATATCTGCACTTACACATATATAATAAGTGCAAAGAAAGAAATTAAAAGAAGATAAATTACAATTTTGCATAATAATATCTTGCTTCCTTTAAGTAAAAAATCTTGTTACTCGGTCTGCAATAGAAAAAATTATTATTCTAGTTTTCACTTCTACCGGCACTCCCAGAGTGTAACCCATTGTTTTCTATTTTATTTTTTAGTGTCTTATATATTGGAGGAATATTAAACTATTGAATCCGGATATAGGGGATCCCATTGCTAATCCTCTTTCCGTGGCGTATATTTTATTGTTAAATGTGCAGCAGTTTTGTTTTAGAATTTGTGTTAGTGCTTCTACGTAGTATTTAATGTGTGTTGCTTCTAATATTATATCTGTCAATTTTTGTATTTATTATATTCATTATTTTTATTGTTGGTATGATTTTGTTTAAGATTATGCCTTTTGATGGCCGTAGTACAAGTTTGAATTTTTTGTATGATGGTGTACTTGTGAAGTTAATTAGGGGTATTGGGGTATTTGTTTTGTGAATTTTCAGGAAAGCTATTAGTTTTGGTCATTGAGAATTTTGTATTTGGAGCTTTATTTAATGTAATGTAATTATTTTGAAATTATTTAGAAATGTTTTTGTCTTGTGAGTTTATTCGTCTTGGTTTGTTATTGCTTGATTTTGGATTTGTTTTTGTTATATCATGTTGTTTTCTATGGTTTTGTAATTTTGTTGTGTGCTATTTTTTGTGTTATTGTTGGTTTTGAGTTTGTGTAATATTTTGTTAATTTCTCTTTTCGGTTTTGAATCGTGTTTCTCTCTGCGTGCAGTTGGAAGATGTAATATTGTTTTTTTTTCTGTTTCGGCTACACCGGCTGACGCTTATTGTTTCTATTTTGAATTAGAGTTCTGCATTACAGTTGTAATTGGGGCCCTTGTTTAATAGATTGTTTTGTGTCGCAGTGAATTTGGTTTTTCTTAGATTTGTGAATTTGTTGTCGATTTTTAGTTGACCATTTTGTGGTTATTCTTAATGTCATTATCATCATCATGATCCAGTTCTTATAGCGTTATACTCGTACGCTTTCTAGTTTTCGTTCTCTAATTTTTTTTGTCTTCCCAGTCTTTTGGGTTAAGACTTCTTTCTGATCCCTTCCCTCCTGGATGATTTTGGTCTTCTGTTATTTTTGATTTCTGTGGGGATGTTAGAGTATATCTGGTTTGACGTCTGGTTTGATATTTCTAGTACCTGGAGTTGTTGTTTAATTGCCACGTTTCACTTTCGCACAGAACATTACTTTTCAGCATTGAGTTGAACCGCATGTTTCTTCTCTATAAATTCGAGTCCAGAGTATAGAGTTAGGCTACCTATTATTTTCTTTTGCGGTTTAATGCGGTGTTCTATTTCAACGTATGTTCTGTTGTTTGTTTTTTTCTGTGCCAAGATACGTATATTCCTGACAAGGCATAATTGTAGTATGGTTGTCTTCCAGTAGATCTATTTGGTTATCTTTCTCGACACAAATGTAGTAGTTATGTGATGTGTCATCAACTATCGTCACAATTACTACAAGCGCTAATTGATCGTTCAGTCATGAAGGTTTGTAACCAAGAGACGAAGAAATAACTGGGAATCAACTGAAGTCCTGAAGAGCACATATTCACATTCAAATATAAGTTAAATTTGTTTCAGAAGATAACTAAGCGAACCATTCTATCAGAAGCATCCAAAATTTTTGATCCATTGGGATGGTTGGCAACAATTATAAATAATCAATGCCAAGTTAAACAGTTAACCGCTTTGGATTGATGACCAATCTTGGGATAAACCTATTCCAAAGAAGCAAGAAGAAGAATGGCTGCAAATACTAATATAAATTACCACTTATTTCGAATATTCAACTTAACCGATGGACACATTTCAAAAAGAGCATCCAGCTACATGGTTTCTGTGACGTCTCCAAACGAGTATATGGAACCGTTGTATATTGCGTAACGCGAGATGATAGAGGAATATACACCACGTTATTACAGGCAAAATCCCCAATTGCGCTTAGCAAGATGAAGCTAACATTGCTGAAATTGGAACGCCTGGACAGATTCTATGATCACCCTATCATCGATAAAAGGAGAGTCTCATTAAAGGAAAACGTTTGTTGGCAACCGAGTTGCAGAAATTCAAAGCAACGTACGGAAACAATTCAGGAGATACGTACCAACAAAGGAAAACCCAGCGGATTTAATATTCAGGGGCATTAGCCACGAGAAAATTGTTCAGAACAATTTTTGGTGGAATGGCCCCACACGCTTCACATGGGATAGACAAATGGTTTATGTTGCAAGTAAACGAACTTGATTTGACATACTCGTAATCAACAAGTTTTATCGCTTACGAAAATGTTACGAGTTCTATTGTATAGAACTTTAGCTATTAAGGCTATACATATACTCGTAGAAGTCGTCAGTGACATGACAACGAATACATTTTTAGCCGCAATTCGTCGTTTCATTGCACGACGAGGAAAGTTTAAACAAATTTTTAGTGACAATCATATGACATTTTTTAGGGCAAGCAAATTATTTGGAAAAGAAATTCAACAAATTGAGATATCGAAAGAAATTCAACAAGAAGCAATACACAGACATTTTACTCCGCCTGCTCCCCCAAATGTCAAAGTAATATGGTAAGCTGCTGGTGAAATCCATGAAACAACACATAAAAAAACAATTAGGAAATAGTTCATGCTCCTATGAAAAAATGATAATGTTAATGCGCCAGATTGAAAGCGGCTTTAATTCAAGACCGCTTTCAACTAACGTTGCAAACTAAGAATAATGCAAAATTGAGACGCGCAATTACAAACTTAATTCTATTAAAAAAATTTTAATTTAATAAAAGTAACATTTTTTTCTCGAATACTTTGAGATAAATCAGAAAGAATTAAATAGATGTATGTGCCTTGGAAATCACCAGTTCACATGCCAAATCCCATACTAATCTGGATGCAAAAAAAAAAAAATTGTTTGATCGAACCTATATTCGGAAAGCTCTCTCTATGCAAACGCATCAGATGAATCGAATTATTTGGAAAGCATTGCTTTCACCAAATACTTGGATGTTTGCCATAAACGTCAACACTTCACTTGCAACAATTTGCAAAGGAAAAATATCCAACATATTACTATCTTGAGCAGGAATAATTAAGATTTCTGCAAACGGCAAAGCAACAAACAATAAATACATTTTGATACCTATAAATCAATGTAGTCTATCTGTGATGGATAGATTCCACCTGCCATTGTCAAACACCAGCTTCATACTGATCCCTACAGATGACAGTATTTTCATGATGGTGAGGTTCATCATACTTAAATCAGAATCATTTTAACAACTATGAAACGAGCAAGCTGAACTAAATTAGATGAACCAACATTGAAAATCGTTCATCATCATCTTTCAGTCGCCATTTAGATAGCAATCCTTACTGGGGTAGCCATCCTTGGAGTGGTCCTATTCCTAAAACGGAAACCAAGAACGACAATGTCCCAACAGCTTCAAGCGAATTCAAAATGTTTCCAAATGAACTTATATTCTTCTTTTATATTTATTACTAGCAATTATTCAGCCAACTCCAACGACGTTGTGCTGCATTAATGATCGTGCAAGTTGTTGACTCTATAATCTCCACCTCACCTCCAGAGCATACGAACTTTGGAGTTTTTGGTGACAGTCCGTCGCCCTTACTGACGACTACGCACACAACAACAATATTATTACATTAAATTTAAAAGCGCACCAAAAATTTAAAGGCAGGTAAAAATTTGTTTTCAAACCACAAAAATAAATTTAAAAAATCGCTTTAGTGATAGAATCCAATTTAGGGCTTCACACGATACCGAGACTTTTCTCGTATCGTCTCGTTCTCGTCTCGGAAAAGCGAGACAATACCGAGACGAGACGTGTTTCAACAATTTCTCGGCGATTCCGAGACCACAGTCCGAGTCTCGTTTTTGGTCTCGTTAATTTTTTTTATGAAGTTGTTATTAGAAAAATGAGAAAAGGTCTAATATATGAAATCCAATATATGACCATCTGTGAAATATTTCTTTTGTATATTCAAAAGAACAAGTCAGTAACCGAATATCATGACCTTTTTGACTTTTTGAAAGTTTTAGGAAAATTTTGTCTTTTTTTACACATCCGGAGACACATTTTTGTGTTTTTCTGTACTTTTTGAAGCAAAGATATTGTATACATCTGGGTAAGTTAGGAATTGTAGACCTGCGCCGCTCACTTTCAACACAAATCAACACGATTATTGTACCCTAGTATACATTAACGTTTAAAAACTTGAAACATTAAAAAACATATTTTCAATTAAAAATGATATAGGTAATCAGAAATTAATATTTTAAACTATGTGTGTATTTTAGGACTTACTTTACAATAAAAGCAATTAGCAATTAAATGACTAATTAAATTGCTGTTTGGGTTTCTAGTCAATGTGAACAGGAACTGAACTTTCCATTACACACATTCCATGGTGATGTACAAGTCAAATAAATTCATGTTGTCCTGCCTCTGGGATTTTGTTATGAGTATTTCTTGAAGACTACACAATATATATGTCAAGTGATAATATAGAATTGGCGTATTAGAAAGGATGACTAGTGGAATGATGGTTTCTTATAACTAAAACAATTGACATTGACAATTGACGGGTGCTGAAGCAGCAGTCATTGTGCTTAAAGTAAAAAACCACTACGTAAGCTTCTACTGATCGTAAGTATATCCAGTATTATTTTATTGTCAGTTTCAATTATATGTATAATATTCACACCGAATAGTTATCATTACGATTGCGTTTTAGGGC